CACGAAGCACTTCAGTACAACCTCACCATCCCTTCCCAGACTCAAGCCCAGTACACTATCTCGTCGGGGAGGGTGCAGACATGAAAAGGCGCCGCGCCGCCGCGTGGCCCCTCCCAACTCACTTAGCACCAAGGGAAGATATTGCGAGGTATGGATCGCATCTAAAAATACATGCGGCCCTCCGGCGAGTGTCGCGTGCGCGGCTCTGTTTTGACATGTTCTGGCTCGCGCGTCGCGTGCGCTTCTCTTGGCACATTGCCAGAAGTGATAGATACTGCTTGAGTGAACTTATTTCACTACTGTTTGCTTCAATAATACATGTGTTACACGTTATTCTGGATTCTAAGCGTCTAACTGTTATTCCTTAATGGTGTTATGCACTCGGCTCCCACAGTAATCCGGCACGACATAACCCCGAGTGGTGCTACAGAGCGGAATGTATCAGAGAGCATCCTCCGCCACCCGCGTGCGGCTGCGTAGCGGTTTCAGTTATTTGCCTTCTGTTCCTCTGGCATTGGAGCGCGATATTGTTTGCGCACCATTTTCAAAACTGCACCACGTGACCCCTAGCTGCCAGAAAATCTGGCACGCGTCTTTGCCCAGAGTCCCTTTTTCATGCGTCGTATATGTGGCGGGTGAAAATCTGGGCATTCAAATGAGACTATGCCGTGAAGTAAAATGTAATTTCTACAGAAATTCTGCAGAATTCGGAGGATGCTCTTTGATACATTCCGCTCTGTACCGTCACTCCATAACCCCATGTTAATACCCAAATTTTCATATGTCAATACGACACACCGAAAAGGGGCCTTGGGTAAGGACACGGGTAGGTAGAGGGGAAGCTAGGGGGTTAACGTAAGAGGTCCACCACCCTTGGCAATGGGCCAAGAGGCGCGCGCATGACGCGGACCGGAGACTCCCCGATATTTTTAGATGCGATCTATTATGTTATTTGTTTTCGTTGAAAAGAAAACATTTTTGGTTCACCGACTTCTGGAATCTTGTGAAAAATTCCACTTCATATGAGAGTTTGAAAATATCCTCTCACGACATCGGAGTAAAACGAAGTAGAGCAACTACGCCCAACCAAGAGGAAACACGACTGCTGAAGGTGCCTACATAAGTGAAGTGCTGAGGAACATAAACAAATTCCTAAGCGAGCCAACCTCATAACACCATCAACAAGTCATTAAGGAATAACGTTTACACTTTCAAAACTCAGAATAAAATGTTACACATGTATTATTGAAGCAAACAGTAGTAAAATAAGTCCACTCGTGCAGTATGTACCACTTTTGGCAGCGGGCCAAGAGCCGCGCACGCGACACGCGCCGCAGGGTCACCTATATTTTAGATGCGAGATCATAGGTATGCAGGATATTGGGTCAAAGTTACAAGACTAGTACACTTCGGGTGGTAAGGAGGATAGGGACAAGATGAGATAGGATTAAGATGGCTTTTACCTTAAATACTCACTCATTTCATCATGCGCTGAAAATGTAGCTTGGAGGGGGGAGGGGGGGACGGCGTCCTTTTGAATTACTGGCGGCTAGAGCGCAGAGAAGGAGGGGTAGCCGGCTTTACTTTTTCATCGAGATGCTTTTTAACCAAAAGGATATTGTTTTTACCTAATTTTAAGAAGGACAGGGGCTCGAGGGTGGGAGAGATGGTAATCTCGTGCAAAAAGCTAAGGCGACATAAAAACTGACCATCCAATTGGCTCACCCACCCCAGAGCTCCTCAAGTTCCTAAACTACGTAAAAAATACACATCTATAACATAAAAAACCTATGCAACGTTCCTAAGCACCAAGACGGACTCGGGCTACACTTCCTCTTCTTAGCTGTCAGTGATTCGAAAGGGCTCTGCCCCCCCCCCCCCCCCCCCCCCAACCACATTTTCACCCATTGTGCTTTTTCAGGATTCCAGTAGTTGAGTAGACCAAAAACCTGCTTTCTTGTCAACAAAAACAAACAACACGGCGGCCGCGCGATATATTTTTAGATGCGTTGAAAATGTCGCAGTATTGCAGAGTTCTGCAGCCACTTTTTGTTTGACGTCTGAATTTCTGCTTGTTCTGCACCATCTCCTTACCTAGGTGATCTGGAGTTATGGGGAAGGTTCGGCCTTCTTTGAGTTCCCCACCTCAAACGGAACAAAGCGAGGTAAACTTTGTACAACTGTTCCATTTTTTTGCTTCTGTACATGGGATTGGAATGCAATGAGGTTCATTTCTCCTATAACGGTTATTCACGGGAACTTCTAAATTTTCAAGTTATTCTACATTGGGAAATGTTGAACTACTTGTTCTTAGTAATATAGTTATGAGACTTAATCGCTTGCATCTTCTTTGCTGTCTAGCTGCCAGTGCAATCTGTAAGGAGGGCGAAGTAAAGCGACCTCCCCAAACACCATGCTCGAGTACAGGGAGCATATTTTTGTCTTTGTCTTGTCAAATTTGTTGCAGTATTGCGTTGTCGATACCTTCTGACCAATTCTACCCATAAAGCGCATAGGATCCAAGAAGTTTTTTTTTAAGTTACCAAATTTTTCAAAGGAGATTTTCATGCTTTTTCGAGGCTCAAGTAAAATCTTTTTGTGCCTATGTGTTCCAAGAACTCTTGTATCCATTCAGCTCTTTGAATATTTCATTTTTACTACTTTCATGAATCGTCTTTTCCTGTTAGTCGTGAATTACTATAAATATCAGGGCATGGCGAAGCGTCCTCGGTCAGAGAATGATCATCATGATGAACGTGAAGTGGCGAGCAGCTCCGAACCACAACAGAAACAGCATTCCTCTATCGATGATTCCGCGACCCAGTTTTCAGATATTGAATGTCTCAAGACGTACAGCTCAATGACGGTTAGTTTTCTGCTTCACTAATTTGGTAAGGTAGAGAGTGTCTGTCTTCACTTTCACGGCTGCAAAAAGCAACACATGCCTTGCTTACTTTTGCGCTTTTATCTTCTCTCCCCTTTTTCTGGCGGAAACAGGTAAATGAGGGAAAAAGGAAGTAATGCCTCTTCACCTATGCGTTACTTTCGCCAGTTATCTTTCTATAGGCGATTATGGCCTAATGAGGGAGACCGCTGATTCCACCCCCTCAGACCATAGCAGCATATAGATAGGTTTCTGCTCTCTGTTTAGGCTTTTGGTTTGAAAGGGCCACTCTATCTCTATTTTGTAAGTACAGAATAACTAATTGCGCCACAAATTAATTGAGGAGCGGTTACATCTCTCGCTACGGCGAATCACAAGTGCAGTATTAACACAAATAGACTCACAAACTACGGTCGCGCTACTAAATAAAACATATGTATACTAGAAAAAGACTAACCCAATCGTATCAAATCAAAAAATTGTAAATTTCAGTCATGGCAAGACTTCAACAATGCTCTTCCTGGTGTCCTGCAAGAAAGACTTGTTCGAGGTTATTATTAGTATTAAATTTCCAATTAAACATTGGATGTGAACATTCGCTCTTTCACTTTCTAGATTCCATTCGCTTTTCAGGAGCAATGGGAGCCAACGGAGGGTCTTTGCCATGTTTTAAATGTCATAAAAGTCTAACGTCATCATTGGGGCTCATAATGCATTTGAAACGATGTCGAAAATCCGCGAAAGACCCAACGAACGCTTCTGAATCAACAGTAAGTTGAGCAACTTCTAATGAGGTTTAAACTTAGTAACCCACCAGTAGGAGTTACATCTTAGTGTCGCTTAGACTCCTTATCGCTCAGTGCAAATTTGAATGTAGTCCCGTGTCATTCATTGTCATTGGAATTTCAGAGTTCTTTTCGAGCAATTTATTTACCTATGCCCGAGTGGCCTGAACTTCGATTGTTGAAGTAGGAACGCATGAAAATCTTTTTTCTATTATTTTAGAAGATACCCCATCCGCCCCCAAAACGAGTGAGAGATAGAACGAAGAAAAACGTTAATCCTATTATCTCAGTCTCATCACTGCAGGAATTGAAGGTTTGTCGGCAACTCGTTTCCTGGATCACCCTTTTCCTTATTTAGTTTTTTTTCTTTTAGGACGAACCTTCCATATGGTTACGCCTTGACCAGAACGAAAAGTTGGATGTGCTAAAGACATTTTTCCCTTCAAGGGTTGTGGAATGCTTCGCAATTCAAACAACATCAAGGGTATGCTTTTAGATTAGTTGGATTAGAATACCGTTTAGCATTTCTTAGAATTATTTAAGTTTGACCACGAACCCAAGAGGTTCACTTTGATTTCCTCTCAGTATCACTTATTGTGAAATTTTGCTCGTTCAGTTTTTTTTTCACTGCTACAAATGTTTTTCAATAGCTTGCACATTTAGTAACGTAACGCCGAATACCCGATCCGAAAAGCATAGTCTGATCTTCCACTGGCCCTTCAAAGGTATCGCAGCCAACGGCAGTAGAATCCCAGTACTTATGCTGCTTCTCATAGAGCAGTCTTCACAGTTGGCGATGTGATAACGCTGCTCCGTCGGCGTTGAACGCAAGTCCCTACCTACGTCTAGACCTCCATCTTTCATATGTTCAAGAAGAATAGTCACCCTAAACGAATGACGAGTCCGCTGCACGTTCGTCGGCCTAATTTAGAGCACTGACGGCAGTGGCATCTTTTGCCGCTCATCCCACGTGGGTTAGGGAAGACACGAAACATGGCTTCTGATTGTGCCCTATCGCTCTTTGCACATGTGAGGCCTTACATTACGGCGATCAGCCACTCGTCGCGAATACCAAAGCAGTCATTTAACATTGATTACTGTGAAGGAACATTGCACATAGTGTGCAAGGCAGCCCTAACCTAAAAGCGTGGAGAAGCACATAAGCAGTGGTAAAGCTTTTAAAGACAATTGAAGCTCTTTTTCTGACTGAACAAAAAGTTTTTCTGCAGCTGAATTGCTCAGAAATTCTTGACTTTAGTGATGTATTGCTATGACTATAATTTGTTCCTGCGTTTCAGAAGTGTCCAACCTTCAATGACTACAAGAAGGCAGTTGCCCATTTGGATTCCTGCATACAGCCCATGTATTTGACATACGTGGTTAGTTTCTTCATTAATATTGGATGTCGCTGTCAATTTTGTTTCTTCATACCGATTCAGCAACTTTATTCAAAGTGAAATGTTCTCCACTTTTCGTAATTTTCTGGTTCGAATTTCCTTACCCAATATCTACCAATGCAGCGTGGCTTTTTGATGATGACCCAGCAAAAGCGTAAGGACATCGTATCATGGCCATTTTCCTTATCCGTACCCATCGCGAACCCTATTTGCGTGGATAGTAAAAGGACACTATGATGTAGGAAATTCATATGTATGCGCAGTTGGGGTTGAGAGTGGAATAGGTATTTGGGTTGGGAGGGTCAAGGGTTTGAAAAATGGCGGCTAGAAGTAATGGAGACTCTGAAGCAAAATGAAGCAAACATAAAATGAAAGAAGGAACAAAACTAACTTGTCCAGCTCAGTAGCTTCTTACTTTTGCGTTGGTGTTGACTGGTGATGCCGTTGCTGTTATAATCGTATTTTTGGTTTTGTGGATAACTTGACCATTCCCTCTTTCATATCCTTATTATTATCTGTTCTATTCTGAGACTAAGGATTATTCCGCACGATATTCGTCAACATTAGGGCGAGCGAGCAAGCGAATTCCGTTTGTTGGATAAAAAAACACGAGCAAGATATGTCCGGGAAGGAATGGCAATGTGCATGCAGTTGCCTTGCATCGAATGTGGCAGGCTGTTCACGCATCATTATGGGCTCCTATACCACGTAGAACGATGCAATGTTTCGGAAGATGTGAGTTTGTTGACCTTTTTTTAAGCGCGGAGCTCAATTCGTTAGACAGTTTCTATTCACCATTCGACCTAGGTCAATTGTGTCGTTAAATTAGGAAATGCCTTGGAAGTGCTACCGGTGCTCAATGCAAACGACACGAGCAAAGTCGCATGAACATCTCAAGGAGTGCTGGGGTGTCGATCGTGAGGAGGAAGCAAAAGAACTGTAAACCCTCCTAGTTTTTTTTTGTTTCTCTCAATCGAAAAATTCGAGCTTTTCAGGTCTTCATGCCTTGTAATGGGTGCCCTAGGAGATGTCAATCTGAGAAGTGGAAAGTCTATATTGAAAGACTCAGATGAAACCATAGAAATCGATGGTGTACCAAAGGTATGATCGATTCGTGATTTCACAAACCTCTAATCAATCAATTCTCATGTGCATCGCCTGAGTTTGAGTGCGCGCCACGCTTCTTAATATTCACATCACATTTTGAGTGATATATCAGCTGAGAAATATCATTTTCAGCTGGTCAGTGAGCTCAGCGCTGAGGAAGCCTTGAAATCCATTCTTGGGCCGAAGCAGTCTGTCTTGGTAAGTTCACAGAAGTTTCATGTCACAGAGTATTTCCGAATTTTCATGTTAATTTTGAAAATCTGCAGACTCCCAAAAAACGTCGACCTTTGACGGGGGCCAGAGCAAGTGTATCAGAAGGTGTGATACCTGAGCATTCAACGCGGATTACAATAAGCGGTGATGGAAAAATGCGATTCAAATTCCGAAAAGCAGACATCAAAGGTAATTTGTGTAACAGCTCGGTTTTTCTTATTATACCGTCCAATATTTATTAGGAGGCGTTGCTGGAATGGCAGGATATCCTAGATATCTCGACTATGTCAGAAAGTCAAATGAAAAATGGAACGAAGAAGTTTCTGCTTTACCCTACTGTGCACACTTGAGTGACATTAAACCTTCGATCTGGAAGCCTATATCGAACTCGTCAGTCCTTTTGTAAAGCTTTCTTCTTCAATCCTTTTCTAGCGCTTTCAATTTCCTTCAATACTACGGCTGCCATTACTCCATGTTGGGCTTTTTTGAATATCTCTTTTCTAAAAGAATTTGGTTTCAGCACATCCTTACCATATTCAAGCAAGGAATCAGTTGGCATACGTTTGTTTGAGCAACGACACGTGGTATGTTTCTAGTGTACTGCTGCCTCTTACCTTATCTCAACTTCAACTTCGAACATCAGTTTGTAAATGTGATTCGATTCCTAGGCTTTGATAGTGTTTCTTCGATACTGGGTCTTTGACTGAAAACAATCCCACTCTTCTTATTAACTTTTAAAAACATCCTATAATCATTGACGAGAGAAACTGTGAGAAGTTCGAAAACAAACTTCAAGCCCGTAGTCCTGTTCATGAGAGATGAAGTATGATCACAGGTTGTTGTTGTTGTTGAACGTAATTTAAGCAAAAGTATGTATAGATCCCATTGTAATTCTTGGCTCGGGAGCTTAAATTACATTGCAATGAGTAGGGCTCATTGTTCGGAGCACCCTGTACAGAGAGGGGTCAAGATCGAATATGGTACATGCGTGTAGAGCGAGATTTTCCACATGGCGCATCAACAGACACTTGCCGCTGCGCTATTAATTAAAGAGTAAAGGGCGAACGGAGGACTGGGATTTGATTCTCAGTAATGCGCCATAAGGCACTATACCATCTCATGTCCGGGCATCTTTCAAGGTCACGAAGGTTTTTGGGAGTCGAACAAACACAGAATTCCATTTAGTTCCTTCTCCCAGATGACTGTTAGTAGTAGGGACGCTAACCGAGTAAATGGCAGAAATCGGAACCCCATGAGCCGTGATGATTTTACGCACGGCCATAGGTATTAATTAACTGTGAACTTCATTTTTTTATCGATTTACTGCTTCTATTTTTGAATGAAACGATGAAGAGCCGATTATGTTTTGAGGACCAGCAGGAGGTCCCGGACTCGTGTCGTCGGTTGCGGGCATTCAACACAGCCGAGTTGACAAATGAAAGAGATGAATCTGTGACAATCGCCTACTGTGGTGGACCTATAAATGCAATCCGGATAGCTCCGAATACAATGCCTAGCGGTAATACACTAACTCAAGTGAAACATTTGTATGCTTCCATAGCATTGCTATTTTACATCATGATGTGTTTAAAGGCGAGGAAGTCGTAGCAGTAGTCACTTACCCCTGCGAGACAACTTTGGTAGGAAAGAACATGAGGAAGGCGGATGGATTCGTTCAGTTCTGGTTGCATAGCAGTAATGAGAAAGGGTTCGCTGATAATTTCTATTTTTTAGAATACTCCACTTCTGCTACCAAAATATAGTTTTTAGTGGTCACTATTACTCACTAATATCTGCTTTAGCTCGAGTGCTATCGTCCCGTGGTTCGTCTTGAAATCTGACTACGGTCTAGTTTTTGACGTGTGCTGGTTGGATAGGCCTCGATTGTCTCCTGACGACACCCTTATAGGGTATTTTGCAGTTAGCACCGCGCAGGGAGTGGTGCTCGTTTACAGGTCCGAAATAGATTATGTAAAATAAGCCTCTTGTTCCAGATTCTTTTTTATTACTTTAGCAGATAATCTTTGTTTCTGGGCTAAAAATTCGCAGATATTTTTGTTTGTCTTTAGGATAGACACGAATACAATCTCATCTTCACAAGGTGTTCCAGTAGTCAACCCAGATCCTGGTCTCATTTTACGACAACCAAAGAATGTGTTCTTAGACAAACCTGAGGATGAGGTCACTATCGTTCCGCTACAAACCTTCATTCAAACATTGTTCACGATTAAAACTCAGCATTAATTGTAGCGCAATTCAGAATTCTGAACAACCGTTCTCACCACCAATTTATGCTCTCACGTGGAGTGCAAAAAGCAGTGCGCAATATATTGTTGGCGTGAATGCAGCTGGTATGACAATTATCATTTTCTGCTCTTTGTTTTCTTTCTTAGTGAATCTTCATAGGTGGTGCCGTAATTTGGGATCTTCAACGTTCTATTGATACTCCACAGGTCCTTCTCGATTCTACGTGGTCATCACCAGTGACAGCAGCATCGTTTATAGGCACATATGAAGGTGAAGATGGCAGACTATTTTGATTGTTTCATATTGATTTTCATTGAGTTGTAAATTTTGGAGCACTATTCAGTGGCACTGGCATTTCGTGAGCGTCTAGTTCGTGTATACGACGTCCGCTCCTACGAATGTTCCCTGGAAGAGAACGCCGTACGCACAGCAGGTTAAATAGTGTTTTTAGTTATTTTCGTAGTTCAAACTATGCTTCCCTGAGCCTAGTGGTAGTGTAGCATTTGATTTCGTCATGGATCTTCTTTATCCTTCTTCGTGCTACATCTGTCTTTTATATTAGCCTTCATCGTTGTGTCTCTTCGATGAAACCGTAAGTTTAGAGGCGTGAACGTGGAATTCTTACATTGTCTAAAAACTCCAAAGTAGACGTTGGAAGGTTCCACGGACCAAATTTCTTCCCAACCGGAAGAAGCTCATTTCGTCTGAATACAAAGAAATCTTCCATTGTCTCGTATTTGACTTTTAGAGCCATCATTGAAGGATAAAAAATAAAGTCTTCTGGCGTTAAGCAATCCCTTCTGAGGGATGCGCCCCCGCACTCGACTTCCATTCAGAATTGTAGTGGCGTAATGAGTGCTGACTTGCGGCAGCCAGCCGATGTACAAGTCAGTGCTCTTATCCTCCCAAACGAGTCTGGTACCAATCAACCGACCACGAAGGGATGGAAGGCTCAGTTGGCCTAGGCGGATATCGATCCGGGATTCGAACCCCTGACCGTGCGTGTGGCATAGTGCGCCACTTGCCCCTACACCACCTCCGCCTAGAGCCATCATGCATGGAGTATAATATTTCTGATAGTAAAGCATGATTTGATCATTATTACTGCACAATGTCGTTTTGCTGAGGCCCGCCGCTTCTGTATCATTTTCAAATGGTCCTCATGTGTCTTGTTCTTCAGGGTCTCGTGTGACTTCGCAGCCGCGATTATTCTCCGGTTTCTTCGCCTTCCAGTCAGAATACTTTGCTACTGGGGATATTCCGACCAACGGTGTTAGTTTCATATGCACCGAAACGAAATCGGGTGGATATTTTGTGGTGCCTCTTGGAAACAGGTTAGTTTGACACCTATACTTTTTGACATCGATGTGTAAAAATAGTGATATAATAATTTTAGACATGGACTGATGACTTGGGATGTCGCAGCAAGTTGTGTAAATGCAACGGTTGCTAGTTGCGGTGTTGACGGACGAGTATGTTTTTGGTTCTTCTGAGGATCCGCATTTTTTATATACCATTCTATCACATTGTTTAGAATTATATCATGTTTGACCAGTCTGTGAGCCATTCTAGACCATTTCATCTAATTTTTCACAAACCCCTCGCCATCTGGTAGGAGGCTGGAAAGCACGAGTGCGGGTTTCGTTTCTGACCGAGGCCGATGTTTCATACTTCGCTTGTCAATCTTGTAAAGTCGCGACTCAATTCCCTGTTGTTGAGGATAGTGAAAAATCGGAAATGAACTGGAAATTCTGAATCGAAAAGTGCGATGGGTGTAGGCCATGCTCTCCAAGTGCTGCGGTGAAATAACAGTAGTTAACAAAAACATCAATTCAAGATGAGCCATGAGTCTTCCTTTCAACGTTATCATCTTGCGCCCCTTTCTACTCGATTTCAAGCCGGTTCAGAGTTGAGGAATTCTTTTGGGTATGTCAGCCTATACNCCCCCCCCCCCCCCCCCCCCCCCCCCCGAACTTGGACTGGGTGCCTTTCAAGGTTTTCTCCAGTAAAACCGAATTCATTGATGCATGCAGCAATACACTGCGTTTCACATTTGCTATAAATAGAAAAATAGTCAGCAGCCCCATTTCTGATGGTTCAATTTAATTACTTTAGCTACTGTTATCGTCAAACGGTCGCCTTGTAACATTCGCAAGTCCTTGTGATTACGGGTTCTCTCTGATGAAGTCGTCACTCACACTTACAAGGCGCGTTTTGTATGTTTTTTCTTCATGTTCATCTATGGTTGTTTTGAAACCATTTCAGAAGACGAGTAAGTGAGCCTGAGGCTGTGAACATAGAAACGCTGTTTTCTAAAGTGGAACCACCCGACGATTACAATGACCATACCAACGAGAAAGAAGCTCCAGTTCGACGAGCGTGCTTGTGTTATACGACTCATGACGAAACCCTGGAACATTTATGGCTGGACATATCCTTGAATTCAGATGTAGTGAGTGAAACTTTACTTCGTTATCTGATCTTTGGGCTAATTTAAATGGCGAAAGATTCCAAATGCCCTAACATTATCTACTCAACAGCTCCATTGACAATTGTGTTTTGTGCTGCCAACTTCTTTTCCTTTTTTGGGTAGCTCTCATTGTAGAACACCCCTAGCACAATAGTAGAGGATGCCACTCTTGTTCAAACCAGGCTGAACCAATTGAGTAGTAGGAACCTACCCGTTTATTTCAACGATCCCCGTCAAAATTTTTGAAGCAAAGAACTTTCCGCTTCTTTAAACTTAACTCCTGTCTGAATAGAATCAAGGCTTTTTTGTAATGCTGGTAAGACAAAATACTGCTTAGATTTTCCACATCGCGAAGTATTTTAGAAAATTATTTTGGAAAATCCACAAATTATCAAGCCCTGAAGTGACTGACAATTGGCTGATCGTCAGATGACGCGTCGTTAGTTGTCATTTCTGTGCATCGTCGCGGCAAAGAATTCAATGCCATGGCGGATGACTCATTGCTGATTTTGCCCTAATAATGCTGTCTATCTATGAAAGAGAAAGTCTTCGATTTGATGTCTCATTGTTCCTATTCTGAGAAGAGCACTTTTTGACGTCAGAGGTGCACCGACCGGCCATTATTTCCAACACCTGACATATGAGACCTAGTTCTGCACATTTTGATGGCGTATGAGCGTTCAATTCGCTTTCGAGAAATTCTGGAAGCGAAGGAGAGTGCGCTATGCGAATATTTGCATGATTCAACGGAAGGATATCGAGTAAATTTTTTTTCGCTCCGAAAGGCAGTACAATAGTTACTGATTGGCGTTTGAAAATGAGTCAAATGAAAATGATCAAATGTACCCTTCCTTCTGAACAGACTACGCAGTCGATTCTTCCCCTGAAGTCGTTGCGATATTTGATCGGGTTTCTAGCTTTCAAGGCCGTTGATTTACTTTAGCAAGGGGAGGGGAAAGGAAAGTAAAGGGAGTGTGGATAAGCCACTAATCAACCTTAAAAGCAGATCTCCGCTTAAAGATCCTCTCCCACTTCGAGCATTGCTCCCATGAGATGCTTGGCTTCCCGGTGGGTAACGATCCATGAAGTTGTTCCTCACCTCTTCAGCCGCTACAGTAGCTTTTTCTGTGATGAGAAAAATGATTAGAAGTTGTGAAATAAGTTCAAATCGATGAATCAATCGATTACATATCGATTACATGCTTTCAGAAAAAGCGGAAAAGTCTATACCATAAGTGTTACTCACTTTCTCAGAAACCTATTTAATGATGGCCTCGCTCCATGGTAACATAACGTCGGAAAGGGCTTAACTGCATTTTGAACGCAATAATTGCTGTAATTATGTAACAAAAACGAGGTTATTCTGAAGGAATATTCCACGGTGAACTGCTGGGGTCTACAAAATTGGTTGCATAGAAAAAAGTGACTCTGTCAATGACTAGTAATTAGCCCGGGTGATGATTGAACCTTATTGAACTAGAATAGTGCTTAGCACTGGGAATCTCACTTAAACAGATGCGCGTTATTCTGCTAATGTGCATACAAGATTTCGGGTTTTGAAAAATCTTGAAATGACTACGGGTTCGAGCCAAGTTCGAGTTTAGCGATAACGTGGACATATTGCTGACTGAGATGGCGGTGATGTATGATACTCACACCTGGGGTTTTAACGTTTTACATTGACGTGCCTGCAACAGAAAAATGAGCTGTCTAAGCTGTGGTTGTACTGGTGTTTTTTGCGAGCCGCTTACTACCCTTCTGCGAAAAGCTTAAATTTTGCTTGTCCACGGCCAGTTTTACTCGTTGTAGAAGAACGCCAGCAGATAGCAGTGGCGACTACAGCATTTTTGATTTCAGCGCGTTTTTCCTTTCTTAAAGTAATTTCGCGTGGTATATAGCTTTTTTTGGTCAGGGTATGGATTGGCGTGAGATGAAAATAGTATACTCAAGGTTAGCGTTGATAGAGGCAAAACTATCAAAATAAAGCGCTGATATCTCAATTACCGAGGAGTTTTTCGTTCCAGATTTAATTTTTTGTTTTGATCTGATTCACTGCGTGGGGCGCCCTACAGTGATTCAGGATTTGATGTCTGGATCAGATGCATTATGTTTGCAGAGGAGAGCGTTCGAAAGGTTATGGGCTCGTAAAAATGGCGATAACGAATAAAAAGCATAATTATGTATACAAAGTGATTTTGTTCGGTTTAGCAAACGTATCGGAATCGACTGGAATACTCAGCTTTGGACCTCCGCATTGAGTCGTTAAACTGCGTGGCGACGAATCATGCTGCAAGGTTCGTTATTTTGTTTTAATGAATTGTGTGTTCTATGATTTTGAGAATTCCTAAGTGACTATATCGGAGTGCTGTAAGCTGCTAGATTTAGACCTGACCCCCCTCCCCACTCTTACCTTCTTCCGCGAGTATTTCCTATCATAGTGGTGTGAGTTCCTATTCATTTTTATCACAGCACAGTGGGTTCTAGTAGGCTTTTACTGACTCCGAAAGAATTTTCCTTAAGGCGGTTGAAAAACGTCTGGGGTTTGTATTACTGTTTACTCTGTTCTGTTTTCTGGCTCAATAGGATAAATCACAGTTGTTGGTCTATTGCTGGTCAAGCGGGAAGTGCGTGGGTTTGAGCATGTGCTCATCCACATGCTGGCATAACAGAACTGTTCGGAACTTCCGAGTCACAAGTTGTTTGTCCGTTGTGTTAATAATACTCATTCATTTCTTTCAGACCATTTGTTTTCACCGGTGGGCAGGCAGGCTTGATGTTCATCCGGCCGTGCGTCATTGAAACGGAATTATCAGTAAGTGTTGTTCTGAAAGCTGTTAAAAAATTTCAGCCCACGAGGGCCTGCTGTTTATTTTCAAAGCAAAAAGGACATCTGTGGGAAACAGTCAGTTGGTGAATCTTAAACACTTTGACCTGCAGCAGGATAAATAGTCCAGTTTGTAGTTTAAAGTCAGCAGAGCTCTGAATAATTATTGTTTTGCTAAAAAGCTGTTTTATGGGGAATTTGCGGTTGGCGGATTTTTGTTTGCGAGGATCCTGTTATGCCTCCCCCTCGTTTCGTCAGCGTCATACGTCAGTCAGAACAAGCATGTTGTTATCTTCTTACACTTGATCCCTGCAGTCGGGCATGAATTTCATGATAACTTGAGCTTGATTTTAGGACGAGCGTAGGCTTGCAAGGTGGAGGCAATCTCTGGAATCTAATGCGAATGACAGTTGACTTCGTGCAATTTTTTAGGTACTTGTCAGTGGGATGAAATAAGTTTGAGTGAGCTAATGATAGCCGAGTTTCTGAGATCATTGACACCAATTTTCATGAAGCAACCTATTGCTCTTTGATGGTCACCGGGCAAAAGAGATAAGGTCTGATAAAGACTGTTTCAGACGAGATCTAAGCTGCGATGTACGAAATCTATCCAAAGAGGAAGTAGGCTATTCTCACATTCCGTTCATCCACACGATAGTTTTGCTCGCGCTTCCTTTGGGCTTTGTTGCGGAACGGAGTGTTGAAGTATAAAGTTTTTGGGCGTTAATCAATCACGTCTGAGAGATGCGCCCCCGATTCGACTTCCATTCAGAATTATAGTGGCGTATTGTATGCGTGTGTAGCCTTTACAATGACTTGCGGTGGCCAACCGATGTACAGTTCAACGCTTTTACCTCCCATACGTGTAATGGTTCCAATTAATAAATCTCGGAGAGATGGAAGGCTTGGTTGGCCTAGGCGTATATCAAGACGGGATTCCAACTCGTGACCGTGGTTGTGAGATGGTGCGCCACTTGCCACTTTCGCCTACTCAAAAAATACAAGAGATGTATAGGTGACATGTATGATCTTAAAGACTTCGCACTGGTGGCTTACTCTGCACAAGATGGAAGGAACAAGATTTCGATGAAATTCAGCTCATGTGGTCAAAGCAATGCTTTCGAAGCTCTTGAGATGATTTTTCCATGCTCTTGCTAGCAAGTGTTCTAAAAGCGATTGATTTTAGGTTCTCAGTGATTTGTTCCATAACGCTTCAGGCGAAGCGTCGTCAAAACGGCAGAAACTAGCAGCCAAAGCTTCTGCCGAATAAGACGATTAATAATATTCTGACGATCTCTAGGTCTTATTTATAAATGTTTTTTGCTGATTGTCATACCAAGGCATGACCTGTAATTTATTGTAGTGCCTAGTTTTGTGCAGATAAAGGTGAAGTCATCTACGCTTTGTTTTGGTTTGATTTAATAAGTAGATTTATGGGCCAAAGGTCCTAAAAAGTGGCCATTCAAAAAAAACATATATGAGAGGTTCGTCATGAACGTAAAGATTGCTGCATGATAGTAGCAGTGTAAGATCCTCTTCTCTTTTATCCTTCCAAAGATTATTGATTGATTCTACTGGAACTACTATCGATTGGTTCTACTAGGACTACTATTGACTCACGGAACTTGTTGTACATTCTGATTCAATTATTGACCTAGCTTCTCATGATACAGAATAGGGTCGGCACCAAAATGATTTCCTACAGTTTAGACTAGCAATGTTAAGCTAGCAGTGTGTAGGGTGCAGATTGGAAAGGAGCAATTATCCCCACACCCTGAAACCTATATCTTTGCTGCCGTGGCTAATTTATTGTTGAGTCTCTTGACTACACGAAAAGCGGACAATTTTTAACCCACAGATGGTTAAGGAGTACGTATCGATTGTACCATGATAGTAGTAGGAGCAACATCAAAAGGATCCCTTCTGATCGTCAACTCGTATTCGACAACTGTGATCGGGAATGAGAGCTACTTCTGAACAAGCTTCAGCTTCAGATTGTTTAGAAAAGGTTCTAATCTCAGTACACAGTTGCTGAGTACAAAGTAAAATATTTTTTGGAACACGTTGAGAGAGCAGATTCTTGTTGTTCCCTGGATATGAATCTGTTGCTGAAAACAGGCTCTCAAGGATTCAACAAATGAACAAACTTCGAAATTCGAGCTCAGTTCAACAGATTTCTGTTATGTTGGCGTGTGCTTTCAAAAGACGCAGGTCTTCGATGGCATTCCATCGTAAGTTGAACGCTTATCTGATTCAAGGAAATTTCAAATGAGAGACTGTTTCAAGACAATTCAAATAAATTCGACAAGAAGTTCAACCCTTCAACTAGTTTCTTCTCTATAGGAGAATGGCTAAGGTCTTGTTCCTACAAAACCGAAAATCGATACTTTAAAACCTTAAATTACTCCATTTGAGTGTGAAGAATCGTAGTTTAAAGCGATTATGCATTTTTAGCTATTGATGAACACAAGGGATAGGCACGATCTTCACTTCACATCTGTGCAAAACTAGAGAATAAAAGTATCGTCAATGGAGGTGGGATAGTGGCAAGATACATACCATTACACACACATGGTCACGAATTGGAATTCCGGATCGATATCCGCCCAGGACAACCAAAACTTCCATCTCTCCAGGGTCGGCTAGTTGGTACTAGACACGTCTGGGAGGATAAATTCACTGACTTGTACATCCGCTGGCCACCGCAAACCATTGAGTGGACCACATAGGCATTCAATTCCCCTCCACCCCCCACCTACGATTCCGAATTGAAGTCGTGTGCGGAGCGCATCTCCAAGACGGGCATAATTGACACCAAAGACTTCGTCTTTTAGCTCTGATTAGCTTGTCCTTATCCTTTCTGTAGGTCTCAAGCTTTGTACTGTGTTTTAGAAGTAGGTGTCGGGTGCACTGAAAAAGAAGCAACGTTTGTGTGAGATTGAAATTGAATTGAAAGAAATCGTTATGTATCAGGAACTTCAAACTTTCCAGGTTATCCCATAAACAAGTCTACCCCATTGAGCTTGAATTCCACCATTATCATCAAAAAATCAATAAAAATAATTTAGGCTGTATCGGTGTCTTGATGCTTGTCAAATTCACCAGAAAATCGATAGAACCATGTAAATCTTATTTAACAAAAAGAAAATGTGCTCTGGTTATCAAGTGGCTAGCCAAAAATAGAATTTGAACGGAAGATACTATGGCAAAATGGACCTTAATGAAGCCAAATTCTCATTGTGATACCCTGACGGGAGGGCTACATTGCCTAGGCCTGGGGAGTTCGCTTTACACGTTTATACGACATCGTCCTCAAGCTGGGAAGACTCCATGGATTGGTCATGACTATCGAGCGGCGAAAACAGAGGAGACTTAACAGGTCTTAAGTCATCCTAGACGGCTTTCTGCTACAGGAGCGCCCGGATAAGATTAAGGGTCCCCATCAGGGCCGACATACAGGAAAGTTCCTTTGGATTCTGTAGAGTGATGTCTGGTAAGTAATCGATACAACTTACATATGCTGCCAGATGTACGTTCAGATTCTATTATTATCACGTAAAAAGGTTAACGTTTCCGATATCAAGACGTTTCGCCACCTGCTGCTGTCGCTGTTTAGCCCGTAATCGTAGCTGGATTGTTGCCAAGAGTATTTTTAGCCTCTCGATATGTTAAACATATTTATACGAAATCTTTACCAACTCTACTAAAATCGAAGATACTCTATTTGACGAACAGTATATTTCTATTGGATCCTGAATGGCCCTAAGATATCCTATGAACCACTTAGGCTTACCTTTACACCATCGAGATAAGAGGCAATAAAAAGTGATATATTCAGGGCATTCAACCAAGGGCAGTCCAGTGCACAGGAGCGCTTTTTGTTGTTGGTTCTTTGCCAACTGCATCGTCCTTAATAATTCAGCACAATTCAAGAGTCGCTATGAGCTATGGAACTGGGTTCTCTTTGATAATCCTTTTCAAAATATCAATTCAGTAAATAGAGTTATTCTCTTATGCGATAAGGTGAAGGGGATGTGGTTGCCAGCAGGATTGTTTACCCCTAGGAACGGTCATTTCCACCTGGCACAGCTTTGCAGTCAAGTTGACTTTGAATCTAAGGTTGACTTATGTGGGTGAATGAATAAACAAGTTTAGGTTTAGGACTGCTTCAATAGGGCGTTTGACTTCCCTTGTCGGCCTTGGAAGACTGATTTGGAGGATTTGGTCTGGGTCCTTGGAAGTCCACGGACATTCGAGTAAGAGGCAAAACTAGAACAAGTCAAGCCAGCACCTTGGGCCCTTCCTCCTTTGGAAAGGGATTGGAAACAGAAGAATACGCCAAAAGGCAGCTTGTTTCAAATTTTGGTCAGTGATGGGTTGTTTTGCTAGGCACCCTTGATGCTAATAATCGATTAAAAGTTTCCAGCTGACTTACTCTCCCTCTCCTCCTTCTTGAGTCATCAGATGTATGAATGCAAGAATTGGTATTTACTAGACCTATCTCAGTACTCGGACCTCATACCACTTTGTTGAGGTTTCAACCGTTTTCGTAAGTATCACTGGAAATTATCTCAAACTTTGAAACGAACGGCCCTATGCAGCCCTTCAGAAGGGGATGAATTGAAAATAATGCCTGCCCAAGGCTCATCTTGCTTTTACACATCTTGTTCTAATCTCACAAGTGGCATGAAGCTTTCGCCGCCGAGCGATCCGTCACCTGCTGTAGGTCTAATCGAGGAAGGGAAGGGGATCTTCCAAATCATATAGAGCATTCACAGGAATTTCTTTCTCGTATTGTGCGATGCATAGAGATATCTCGAAAGGACCGCAATTCTACCGATTTTACGAGATATCCGACAAAAATGGGTTGTCGGACTGTTTTCACTTCAGAGGAGAAGTAAACTAGAGCTTTCGGAGGTTTTGACGCCATGAACCAACATTTTGGGTGCCCCAGACGAAGTTACTTGATTCATGCGTTCCCTTTGACCACCTTGAAATCGCGTTTTCAGCGATCGTCTTCTTCGACCATCTTCGACAGTACGATGAAGATAATCCACGAGTAAAAAGTCGTGCTGAGACAGCAATCCAATGAGAACATTCATGTAAGTCTGGGGCACACAGACGGCTCAGAAAAAAATTGAAGACGGCTTGTGAGTGCTATAGGCACTTATGCAATACTTAAAAAGCCGTCGAAAAAAGTTCAGAGACGTAGTGTAAAAACTGATGTGAACAGTGGCCATCGCCACAATTTGTGCTAGTGATGGACATATTTATCAGTGAATTAATGACTATTGATAAAAGGATTAGTTCAAGACAAAATTGCTTCTTTCTTTTCAACACGAAGACATTCTCAAATAATATGTTTGTTGAGAAACTTCTTGACAAACTTCTTCACTCCATTCTAACTTTATTTCATTGTCACGATGCAGTTGCCCACGTCTACCTCCACTACAAGACCTTCTTCTTATGACCTTCTTTTTGGTATTTCTCTTCTCGCTGGCTGATGAGAGTTAGTTGACAATCAGTCTTTATCTTATACAAACTAGTGAACTTTGAAATTTCGAACCGGGTCAGGTGAAAGATGAGAAATTGAAGTAATGGAAGCAGGAATGGGCACAGTGGTGCAGAAGCTTTTTGCTCTGGGTATTGTCCATTCGGCAAGATTAGCTGATCTGTCACATTCTCGGAGTAGAGTAGCGAACTAGCGATCTCTCACCATCACACCTCTAGTCACCATCTGCAGGTGACATCAACGTGGTAGCTCCAATGAGATTAATCGTCGGCAAGGCTCCACTCTTGATGATTAAATGAAATTCAGGAAGTCACTGCAATCACCCACTTCATGATCTAGAAACTCTGATTTACCGAATTATTTTCCTCTAATTCGCTTCGATCATTAGACAAGGGGTAACAAAATGGTAAACTTTGAATGGAGGAGAGCGTTCACAATCGCTTACATGACTCACAATCTGTCACGGAGGACCTATTCGTGAAGAAGCGAGGGCCCAACAAAATGAAGCACCCAAATTAGAAAACCAGCTGGCTAGTTAACTATGCTTGAAATGGGAGAAAGAACTCGATGGTGCTCCAGTCCTAGTAAGGGAGGTCTCATAACATTTGTTTTGAAGAGTTTCTCTTTTTTTAAAATATCATTCAATTTTCTTCGCTTTTACCATCGGTTTCCCATCCTTTCCCAAAAGGGGATGCTCCATGCTGCCCTGAGAACGTTCACTTTCTGGTCCGGGAAGCGTAGACTTCCTGCTTTGGAATTGTACGAACTCCTTAAGGTGCGAGGCTCTATCCCGGTGCTGATGGCTATGTGTGGTGTTGGTGTGCCATGAAACATGTCTGTTTCAATTACGTGGAAAATTACTTTGGCGAAATTTCCCCTCAAGGTTAAATGTCATTTTCATGAGGCTTTTGTTCATGTGGATGTGTCGGAGCTGCGGATTCCGTCCATTGCCGCCAGCCAGTGCTGTGGACGGCGTAGCTGTTGGTGTAATGTGTTTTGTCGAAGCTATCTTTACGTGGGGTGGGTGTGTGTGATTTCGCACTGACGAACGAGATACACCCCCATCAAGTGAGAGCTTAGGAGACGGAAGATGTCGTGACACTATGTGAGAGTGTATCACTGATCCAGAGGCAACTGACATTACTGGAGGTAGCGGAGGTGAGAATACGGTATACATCCGTCATTTCTCGACGAAGAGAGTATCCTACGTCGAGATGCGTTAGAGATAGAACGCGCCGCCGCCGTAGGGGCGCTGGTGGCGTGTGTGGGGCGTGGCGAAGCGTTGGAGGAAAGACTTAGCTCGCAACGCCTGGCTAGCCCCAGAATCAGTACATCAGACTCCTCGTTGTTTGCGGCTGCACTACTCCTCATTCAACACTACTGCCAAAATGGACGCCATCAAGAAGAAGATGCAGGCTATGAAGATCGAGAAGGTACATCTCTATGTACATCATATACGATAGATGATGTTGTTGTTATCTGATATGGTTTTTTGCCATTGCATAGATGGTGGCCGACAGTCTGCCTCCATCCCTAGACGCCATAAATGTAATCTGCAACCCGACATGGGAAAGACATCAGCGCGGATCACATTCCCCAACTTGTTTCTTCCCCGTTTTTGGGTGTGGAGATTACCCAGTCACTAGCGTCCACTAGCTAACATCGATGATCAGTCGTTGCGCCGATATACAGTTCAGTTTAAATCCCAAGCCGCACCACGCTTTGGTCTGCATCTGTTCATAATACGCTCTAATGAAATGTAGATGTTTTGATTCCAGTTCACGTTGTGGCTCTGAAGCGGCGAGCGAAGCAAGCGAGGAATAGCAATGATTCAGCATATTTCGCTTTTTTTTATCGCGTCGAGAATTCCGGGAGGCGTTTGGGCACCAAACGAATTTTCATTGTGAAATTTTGATACTATTCTATGTTCATGATAGAAATAGCCAGCAGCAACTGACTGCAGGGAAGCTAGGGAGGGGGGAGGCAATGCAGGGGCTTGTGAGCAGTGTAACACATAGATCGCGAGAGAAGTTTCGATCCTTACAACATACGGAGGCAATCTGCAACTTCTCACCCTCCTGCCTGCCGGAGGCTTTAAACGCGAAGATATTTCGAGCGAAACAAAGTTAGGGTGGTAGGAAAGCGGCATTTCATCGTTAAAATTAAGCAGCAGGTTCATTCCATGGAACAGGGAATGCCTGATACAGAAGTTGCGTCCTTGATAGGCCTTGCTGGCCCTGCTCTAAAAAAGAAACCCGCCGGGGACGAGATTTGACTTTTGTGGAACGTTGAAGCTGTCCCAACGCACACAACTTGTTTCAGGACAACGCTCTCGATCGAGCCGATGCCGCCGAAGAGAAAGTCCGCCAGATTACCGAAAAGTTGGAGCGAGTCGAAGAGGAGCTCCGTGACACACAAAAGAAAATGATGCAGACGGAAAATGATTTGGACAAAGCTCAGGTATGATTCCTACCATGGATGACTAAATGTCTCAGGAGCTAAAGCAAATTTTTAAAAAAAGGATTGGTCGGTTGCACCACATCAGATGTTCGTTCTAAGATTTCGAGCTTTGATCTTATCGGTCTAGAAAGTGTCGTTAATAAAAGACTATAAGTAGAAGGCCATCCTTCCAAGGATAAGAGTTAAAGAGGGAGCATTTCCAGCGTAGGAACCATCCAGGAGTTCTTTAATTTCTTCTGAGCCGTTCTGTGCTCAATTCCGTTTTGAGGACCTGCTCCAAAGTAGAAGGCCCAGTTTTTCAGAATTCTCGAGGTTACTAAAATGTCTTCGTACAAATGATCCAAGTCATAACCAGTAGAACGTTTTCAGACAAGCGGGTCATGTCAGCCTCAGGCGAAGACTTCCTCTAGGGGTTTTCTCTAGGGGTCTATTTTATGATAGGGTTTTCCCATTGATTCAGTGTAATACTGTCGAGATGCTTTGAATCCTTTTGCATGCCATTCTTTTGCTTTTTGAGCGGGTCAGGAGTATGCTCCCTAAATCACTGGGTCCTTCCCTCCCAAACAGTAACAAACAATATTGCTTCCGCTAGAGTCCTCTGAATGACGTATAACAGCAAAGCCCCAGGGAACTGACAGGAGCTTGGCTATTAGCGGCATAAACTTTAATTTGTCAAACGGTTGCCTTCCATGTCATTCATCACATCGGCCTTGAAGAAAGTTATGAGAATAGTGAAAATTGCACTCTTTTTATACTCTTCCTCAGAGGGATGGTAGGAACTGTACCATTTTTCTCGAAAAAAAAGGAAATCTGGGTTTGTGGTGGTGCAGAAGTTCCAATGCCCAGTCATTCCTTGTAGAGTGGGATATTGTTTCAGCCCCATTCCTCCTTTTTGAAGGGTTATGGTTACAACGCAAAATATTGCACATCGCACGTTATAATGGACCCACTCTTCTCGGTGGAGACTTGTAAAGTTTACTCTGATTTCCACTGACAAGGCCTTGCTTTGAAAGGGATGGTGCAATTCATTCAACTGTAATAACCAAAAAAAGGTAGGGATGGTGGGCCTGTAAAATATAGTAGGTAGGGAGGGTTACTAGTGAAGTACAAAACTATTTTTAGCTGACCCTAGCTGGTATTGAGAACATTACCTCAAGGATCTCAATTATAAGAACTCTGCCCAAGCCACCTGATAGGCCTAGATTTAGGAAGCGGATTGGGTTAGATGGAGGTGAACTTCCAGTTGACTTTCAGTTGTTTCACATTCCTGCCAACAGCAGCGATTGTTTAACAACTAGGCCAAATAGACTACATTACAGTTGGATACACTTGGTAATCTCGTCCACGGAATTAATTCTCAAGTGCCTAGAGACTCTTGGAACAAAATTTCCCATCAGCAAACGTGTGGTGGGATCCCCCTTCTTTCTGTATCAGGAAAAAGGTGCAGAGCTTGCTCTAACAGTGTGGGGGTTGATAGTTGTCTCATTTATTCCTTTAAGCCATCGAGCTATCAACTTTTGACGATTTCTTTTTGTGATAGTTATTTAGGATACTGGAAAGATCGGACACCTGTTCATGTCATGGTTCCTGCATATTTCATTATAAGTCTGATATGCTGAATACAAAGTTTTTCTCACATATACTTTTATATGGCTTCGTTGATTGGGGAACAATTCCTTGAGAACGTTTCAATGCTCTGAATTCAGGAAGACTTGGCAGCCGCCACCAGTCAACTCGAAGAGAAGGACAAGAAAGTGCAAGAGGTACGCGTGTTGAGCTGGTTTCTTTCCGGTACCTCATAAGTGCCGTTTTCTATTTTGCATATTACCTTCATTCTCATTTACCAGTCTTTCGAAACGCCTTCTTCAGTTAGGAGGTGCTCTGTTCAGATGTTTAGACAGGTGCGTTCCAAATCCTCCTCCGCACAGCAACATACCACAAACACAATGCAGAGGTGAGACTAGCCGCTCTTATACACACTGAGGATAATTGCCGTGTCTAGTTACCGTACCAATTCTCTTCCGTCCGTGACCTTGTACTGAATTATTTGAAAGGCACCTGGCTCTTTCAGAGTTTCATGTAGATGATTTACTGAGATATTTCTTAGTGACCTCACACAGGAGTCGTTGAACTGCATTCTGCCTAGGATAATCCGTTGGCTACGCCCTACCTCCCTCTCCTTTACCTCCCATTCCATTCTCCTTACATTTGGGAAAATCCTTATTTCGTTGATTTTGATTAAAGGAATCAAGGTGGATTTCGTTGAAAACAACAATGAAGTTCTACCAGTAAAAGGCTTTTCCACAACATATAGAAAAGTGGGACGGGCTGAACTGGAAAAGTACAAAACGCTCTAGCAGAAAGGTTTATTTTTGATGTGCCACTGTTTTATATCCCAAGAATCTTAAGAGTTCACATAGGTAGTGGTAGACCTATACAGATCGCTGAGTGTAAATCGGTGCCCAAGGCCCAGACCTACCAAACGACCGATGCCTGATAGATCGGAGGTTGAGGCATTGGACCGATCCTCAACGATGAACAAGCAAAGTGACATCTTTAGCCACTGCGCTAGACCGTTAGTACCCCAGATGAGTCTAGTTGTAACCATTTCATAAAGGTCCAAGAGGAATTTCAATCTCTGACGAATGGATCGATGCATATGCTCATTTGAGGCTCTGTTCAGGGAGATATTACATTATTCAGCCGCTCAGTGGAAATCAGAATGCTAAATTCAAATAATTAATAGAATGGGAGGGTCGTGAGGACGGTCTTATCTAAGAAATGGGGAAATTCCAATACTTTTCTTCGTAGAGTGGCAGAAATCATATGTTTACTTTCGATTGTAAGTATCACACAGTGTACCAATGGAGCAAAGAATGTTTTTCTAGAACGTAATGGGAACCCCTGAAAACATCCTTCGGAATTTTGCAAAATTTTGAGCGTACAGGAAAAAAAACAGAATTCCATAAAGGGCTCCGGTGGTGCTGATAAGCTTGTGCCATTGTAAGGAGGTCTTGAGATGTCTTGTTCAGAGGTTCCGTGAATAGTTCTAGTCCTTTTTCCCTCTTAACTGCATCCCGGATCGTCTAGAGATACTCTTGCCTGATCTCCAATTTAGCCTGAACTCGCTGTCTCACGCTGTAATGATTAGAGCGTGTTTGCTTTACACTGTCACAGCACAGCTCCCCCGCAGTGCTAGATGTCTGTGAAATATACGGCGTAAAGCGGTGACGCAGAAGCTGAGCTTGAGAGCGCCGGCAAGCAGGTTGATAACGACACAAGAGGAGTACGGCAATGGCGGCAGTGGTCGGTTGGCTGGCAGCCCGAGAGAATCCTTCCATTGTAAGAGATTGCGGAAGTCAAGATCTGTGCAATTTTCGCGAGAACTCCGTTGAACTGTGTGCGGGAGTCACTTAGGATGTGGCGGTGGAGGTTGAGAACGAGGTTGAGAATAGCAGTGAGCGGTGGTGGTGGTACACTGAGGAACAATGAATGACTCACCGGCGGGCGCAACATCCATTCAAGGCCTCACACAGAAACCACCCCCACTCCCCTCCCCTCTCGCCATCACACGATCACCCCGGCTATCTCCCGCATTTAATCGAGTTGACAGTTTAAATTTATACTCGCCTTTGGTTTCTTAATTACGCTGCCTATTTGAAGTATGGTGTTGCTGGTCTTCTACATGAATATTCTCCCACCCAAATGGTCCGTGGCTACCCGACGAAGGAAGTAGATGGCGTAGCCCCACAAAGTCCTCGCAACCCTATCACGTTTCCCTTTATTTTTCATTATTGAGCACAGAAGCAGAGTAACTTCCTTTTCGGGTAGTTGCAGCATGTGAAACCTCCCATTTTCTTCAACTCTATTCAATCGATGCGGGTGGCTTGTCCATGTCGATAGAACACTTTGCCAATCTGAGTCAGCGATCGCCGTTTGCCCGTGAGTGTGCCCTCTGTTGATGTCAGCATAAGCAGAAATACATGGTCTGATAGCATTCTGCCTGCCACACAGCTTCATTCTCGATTCGAAATTCGCCCAGGTCGCGCCGATTGTCGCGTTCTGGGCGGTACCGTCGCCTCGCGGCTCCGCGTGGTCGCGTTTCCTTTTCTGGTCGTCGAGGCGATTTGTCAGCTGCGGCTTGCCTATGCGGTCTGATTCGTGTTCCTCTTCTCTTATCACATTCTGTAGATGATTCCATGTTATTTCTGAGAACTGCGAACTTTCTGAGAACTTTTTAGTCAGCCGCACTACTCTCGCTTTTCTTCTCTTTTCATAACACTTCTTTTGTTCGCAAAAAACGGCTCGCTTGCCGATGAAAACGTAGTGCTCTGCTCTCGGTGCCTGGTATGATGTGATTCGTGTGTGCGATTGATTTGTAATTCGGCTAAGCTTCGGATGAACGCTGTCGGTTCAGCGACGGGGCTGGGCATCAGCACCTACCTCGTGGTGGTGCGTCCCTCAGTCGCTTCGCCGGTCCGTCCGCGTTGATTCATCTCGTCATCGGTTCGTCTGTCGTTCGTTCGTTCAATTCCATTGCTGCTGCTGGTGTTGCTGCTGCTGCTGAACAATCTCGATCGATGCTTATCATTTTTAAGTGATTCGGAGCGGCCACAGACGAAAGCAGCTCGGCGTTTTTCGGTCGTCGCTTCCCGTTTTGTTTGATCTCTTCGAGAGGAGCAGAAGAGAGCGGTGTGAGCGAGCTCCGCCCTCACAATTTGCTGACAGTCGCGCGACTTCCACAAGTGCTTCCACATTTCTTGCTTGTCTCGCTACGGCTACCGATTTGTTCTAAAGTATCATTCACATCTGAATTCGCCGTACATCCACTACTGCCATCATGTCGAAAGTGAACAAAGAAGGAGCTCAGCAGACATCGTTGCTCGATGTCCTCAAGAAGAAAATGCGCCAAGCCCGCGAAGAGGCTGAAGCTGCAAAGGACGAAGCCGATGAAGTGCAACGACAGCTCGAAGAGGAACGTAAAAAGCGCGAGGACGTAAGTGTGTTTCTTCTCCGTTCTTTCTGCACTCTGTCTAATACCATTTCGCTCCTTATCACTATCAGCTGGTTATCTCAGTTGTCACCCTCCTTGTTTACTATACAAACAGCCAGCAAAATAGCAAAGACAATATTTTTGACGTACTTTTTCCCTCCCCAATTGCCTTCAAAAGTGAGCCGACGCACGCTCTCGAGCTCCCTGTGCAGTGGGACAGCGAACTACTCATAAGCACTGAGAGTACTCTCGACATCCTCCCACTGTGTTCGTGGTGCAGCTAAACTATTGATTCAAAGAGGTGGTGGGGTGGACGCAGATGTTTCATTCGTTGCCGTTCTTGTTCAATGCAAGGCCAAAACCAGATATAAATCAAGCCGACAGCAATTGTTCATCGCCAACCACACACTCATGGTGGCTATCGGAACCTGCACTGCACATGTTTGCCGTAAAGATTCTTCTATGTGTGTGGCCGTTCTCGTTGTATGATACGACGTGCGTAGTAAATGGCGCCTGAGTGCTAAGAAACTCGCTGATGTTGAAGTGTTTACGTATGTGAAGTACTCAGTGGGGGAATGGAGAGTGTGCCGTCTATGAATCCGTAGAATTCTCCTCTGTGCTTGGTCTCATGTTTGAAGAGCGCTCGCTCGCCCCTTCACAACACAGTATCCGGTCCCGGACGGGCATGGTTGCTCAGTGTAGGCTGGCTGCCTAAGCGTACTCTCACCAGCTCAGCGTTAATTCCCTCCCGAAAACAGCGAGAACTCGAAGTGTGGTCGAGAATTTTCAGTGAACCCGGTTGATTAGCATTCTTAACGTTGCCATCACAGTCACATCTATACGAATTTTGGAAAATGTTCTGTTAAAATTGAAACCGCCCAGGGAGTACTGTCGATCGATATTGTTCCCTTGGGAAAAAACTGATGGGCAAAAAATGATGATCGCCCAGAAACGCTCACCGAGAGATGTGCTTGCCTAATCGCCCTTGAAGGCAAAGATCAGTGTGACCATAGCAGTGAATGAAATGATCGGTGGCAGATACCTGCGTAGCGACCTGCGTCCATGCAAGATCAGGGTGCGAATTTGAAGCAGCGCCAGCAAAAAGCAATCTTCCCATGTTTTTTCCCCTGGAACTGGTCCACACAGTTCCACTTGAAAGGTATGGGTGGTGAACAGGTTGGAGTAATATTGAGTACAGGGGAACATGCGTACATATTCCAGGAATAATCCGGAGGGTTCGTGTTTCTTTGGGGAGTCTTACAATCAAAGCTGCGATCTTCGCGATAGCGACAGCAACGAAACACCACAGCCAGCCAACGCGAGTGGCACAGCTGTCTCATCACTACGGCACGTAATATATTCGCAATACGTCGGCTGTACGAATTGATGTACAGAGAGAGAGTATTTGACAGCAAATAAAGCAAAAAAAGAGCTCCGACATTGCATTTACACCTTTGGTGGCATTGAATCCAATAGTTCGGGATTGCGCCGGGCGTCCGTTACCTGTTTGAATAGGTTGGGCTCTGGGCTTTGAATAGGTTCAATTTTAACAGAACTCCTCGAAAAAGCGGGGAGGATTACAAAAGAATAGTGGGGAGCATTACGAAAGAATGGGACTGTGAAGGACTTCCCCAGAGTTTACCATAGCCTCAGCCTCGAGGACAATTTTTGAGCCCTTAAAGGGCATACTCGCCCTGCAAAGTTCTTGCAAGCCTCAATCGATGTTAACATAAATGATTCTCCATTTCCTGAATAACCTTGCGCAGGCCTCAAAATTGCGTCGCAGTCATTTTAGAATCCAGTGGTACTTAGCTTCTTGAGTTCCAGCGCATTTAATCGTTCTAGGAGGAAGGAAAGGGGGCTCTAAAGATCTATTCCAAAACGAGTTTCCGAATTGGCGAAATCCAAAAACGAAACATCTCTAAAAGGCTGTTCCCCCCGAATGCACTTTCTTTGGTTGTGGGAATTGATTGCCTTCCGAGCTTCTCCTCTCCCTTCAAACCGTTGCTGAGCCGGCTAACAGCGTTGCCCCGCAACATACCAACATAGTAAAAACTTATCTCCCTACTAGTGTATTTCCATAATGGCCACCATCTCCTATCTCATGAATACTGCGGCACCTATAGGCTGAAGCTGAAGTGGCAGCATTGAATCGCCGTATTGTGTTGGTTGAGGAGGATTTGGAACGTACCGAAGATCGTCTGAAAATTGCCACATCCAAATTGGAAGAGGCTTCGAAGGCAGCCGATGAGGCTGAACGGTTAGTTTTTCTTGATATTGCTCATACATTCGTTGCTAATCATTGCAGGCTGAGGCAGAGGTAGCTGCCCTAAACCGTCGTATGACTCTTCTCGAAGAGGAGCTTGAACGTGCCGAAGAACGTTTGAAGATCGCCACTGAAAAACTCGAAGAGGCTACTCACAATGTCGACGAGTCCGAGCGGTTGGTGGCGATGGCCAACGTGCCCGCCGGCTGCCGACCGCTTGCCCATGTCCTCGAGTGCTCGTCAAATTGTGATTCGCTTATTCGTTACTCACTAGTCGTGAAAACAAAAATGTGTTCAGAGTCTTGTAGCTGTATGTAGCTAGTATGACCGCAGAAATCGCTTGGCGTTATGTCAGCTCAATAGGCCTCTGTCCAATACTTCCAGTGAATTTCAAAAAAGAGTCTGTCATGGCGCGATACCAGATTTTAGCGGTCATAAACTGAGATCAGCGATGTGTTCATGTGTTGTCCAGTGCCACTGTCCCGTTCATACTATGTACTTGTCTGTCTAGCGCCCGCAAGTCAATGGAGACGCGTTCCCAGCAGGATGAGGAGCGCGCGAACTTCCTGGAAACTCAGGTCGATGAGGCAAAGGTGATCGCAGAAGACGCCGATCGCAAATACGAAGAGGTCCGAACCAGTTCTCGATGACTTCGTTTCCCCCTAAATGTGAACTCGTGTGTGTACAACCCTAACAGCTCCCGCATGGAACAACACTAGTTTCAAGGGATCTATCATCATTATTACGACTCCGAGGACCTCGTTTCTGTCTCCTTTCAGCTGTCAACCATTTCAACTCCTTCTACCAATGATTTTCCAGTTTTTTAACATTTTCATGATCATCCCTCAAATCTGAATGGGTGTGAACCTACCTAACTAAATCGATTGTACAGAGCTCGAAGATCGTTGGAAAATCGCGTCGACGTCGATGAGGATCGTTGTGCCGAGCTCGAAACGAAACTACGTGAAGCTCAAGCTCTTCTGCATGAAACAGAGAGTAAGAGCGAAGAGGTATTGCAGTGCTAATCTCATTAACCACTATCTGTAACTACTCGTTCGTTAATCAGCCCTTACTTTCTACGTGTACTTTTCCGTGTTTGTCCGTCACTGAATCGGTCACTGCAAGCAAGCGGGAGGTATGCAGGGCCTTTTTATATCGCTTCGCTGTCATCACCTTCACCTAGCAGGGTCAAGCGTCGATCGGAATTTTCCCTTTTTTGATTACTCTTCCTTCACACTTTTGGAACCATTTCTCGTATAGACGACCTTAAAAAGGGAAAATCTTAACACATAGGGATTTGGATGCTTGACCCTTCAATGGTCAGGTTTGATGGCCACGCATCATAGCCGTTAACTACCTGCACAATTTTGCACAAAAATTGGTTCAGTGTACGCAAAGTGATGGAAAACCGCTCATTCCAAGATGAGGAGCGTGCCAACACCATTGAAGCCCAACTGAAGGAAGCCCAGATGCTCGCAGAAGAAGCCGACCGAAAATATGATGAGGCGAGACAGAGCGAGTCTCACCCATGGAGTGATAATTCTAACCCCCGGTCTTTAACCGGGTCACTTATCCAGCATGCTTTTGCCAGTCCCATAACCTATCGTCTGAGAGTGATCTATGTATAAAAGCAATTTTGCGAATGATTAAATGGAATCGTTTCAGGTCGCCCGTAAGCTGGCTATGGTTGAAGCTGATCTCGAAAGAGCCGAAGAACGTGCTGAAGCCGGAGAGAAGTAAGTTGTTTGTCGTGTTTTCTTGCACTGTCCTATTTCTGACGCATCGCGCATAGGATAAAGGTTTCGTAACTTCTGAATAGGTCCCTTTCTCGATGTATTTGACCCGATCAGAAACCGTTAGTACAGCAAGATCGTCGAATTGGAAGAGGAGTTGCGTGTGGTCGGAAACAACTTGAAGTCGTTGGAACTTTCCGAAGAGAAAGCCCTTGAGAAAGAGGATATTTTCGCCGAACAGATTCGCCAGCTCGACTTCAGAATGAAAGAGGTTCGATTAAACAAAGAAACGTCAACGTCCATGGTCTTCAATCCCCCGTGCGTCGCTCCATCCGTCGTCATCGTCGAATCGTCCCTAACCAATCTCATTCAACAAACATCATCCTCTAGACCTGATCGACAAGCCCTAACACTCTGCTTCTATTGACTAATGAAAAACTCTGTCAGCCTTCATCTCCCTCTGAATTTTACCCATTATGGAACCTCCAACACATCTTTATATTCTAATATACATTCCTAACTAACCAATTTTCTCCCCGCAGGCGAGCGCTCGAGGCTGAACGCGACCTGATTGTCGTCGCCAGAACTCTCCGGCGGAAAGAAAATTTCGAAGAGGTGACGCTGTTGCGTGAAAATCACATCGCCATTCAAGTCGCAGCGCTCGAGGCGCACGTTAAAGAGGTCTGAACGCACCGCCACTTGTGGTCGCGATCGTGTTTTCTCTCCGCGCTGTGCCGCTGTGTTGCGTAATGTGCCGACGGCAGAATAGAGTATTGTAGTAGCGTATCGCGATGTGTTGTGCTCTGCTGTATTGTGGTGTCGTGAGGTAAATCATTGTTTGTGTTCTGTCTACAGCAAGATCGTCGAGTTGGAAGAGGAACTCCGTGTCGTCGGAAACAACTTGAAGTCACTTGAGGTGTCTGAAGAAAAGGCCCTTCAACGTGAAGACTCATACGAGGAACAGATCCGTACTATCTCAGCTCGTCTGAAGGAGGTATAACATGTATATCCCTTTTATTTCGTCCATAGTCTGCGTATACGTCGTAAGATACCTTTCTTTCTCTTTGGTTGCACTGTTGTCAAGCTTATAAAAACCCACTACTCTAATCAGTTCCACCAAGAAAACCTGTTTTTTGGTACTGATCGGTTTCGGAGGGTACTTATAAGCTTGCCATTTTCAGCATGTCCGCTCCTGATTTCGTGATATCGTGAACTTGTCCTCATTCAATAGTCATGAGACGTTTATATGTGCATTTCTATGTTTAGGCGGAAACCCGTGCCGAATTCGCTGAGCGTTCCGTGCAGAAACTCCAAAAGGAAGTCGACAGACTGGAGGGTAAGTTCACTCGGTGATGAGTTTTCGGAAAATTGCACAGACATCGGCTGTTGACCTTGTCATAGGGTGTTAAGAGTGCAAGAGAAAGTTTCTGGGATCACTTCCACCCACACAGATCGCCACAATTGCTTGAAAGGAAATAACTCCCAAGATCCAGAAGCTGTTCAGCCAGGACACCAGAAACTGTAGGCCTAGAGGGATTCGGGGAAATCCGATGCTGAGTATTTACGATGTGGGAGGCCCAAGCTAGAACTGGTCAAGGCGGATCTGTAATTGATGTGTGTATGTGTGTTGAAGATGTCGTTATTGTGCAGTTAAAGTGATGTCTCGTTTATGTCTATAGACGAATTGCTGCTGGAAAAGGAACGTGTACGCAATCTGACCGAGGAAATCGAGCAGACCGTGCAGGAGATCCAAGGATCATAAAAGTGTCAGTGTCCAGTTTGTCCGTCCAGTTTGCATCGTGCATCGTGTGTACTACTCTCCTCTTCTCTTCTCGTTACATCACCCTGGATCGCGGAGGAGGGTGTGCATGTCGTTTTTGTTGTGCATCAGGAGCAGCCAGGAATACGAAAAAAGAAACTGCATGAAGGGCAGCATGAAAACAGAATAAGAAGCTCTTAATGAGTTTATTCGACTGGAACGTCGAAGTAACCGGTTTTGGAGTGTTTTACAAAGACTAATCTGATTGGTTTTCTATTTTATTTTTGCGTGCCTTAACCATAATCTCAGCGGTTTCAGATGAAAAAGATGAAGCTGATCGGAAGAATCGACAGCTTCAAGAGGAACTCGATCATCTGCTCACCGAACTTAATGGTGTCTAATATATTATTCAGAGTGGGGAAGAACGCCTCCGCCTGAGAGCCACGCCCACCGTGGCGTTCATTTCTTCGATCGCCATCCGAGAGCGTTCAGACTTATTGTAGTGCTCTAATTTCATCTAATTCATTTCCGTTTTCGAATGCAATGTCTAATGATACTCCATGAACTGTTTTAATTTTGGGTGTGTGCGTGTGCTGCGTGATTCACTAATGGAATTCCGTTTGGCTCCTTTCATATCCTCTAATAAGCCTCTAGATGATGATGAACACGCATGCGTGTTTGGTTGTGTATGTACGTACGTCTCTTCTATGTCTATCATGGCCCCATTTACCACTTGTTCCCACACATCTACATCCCCTTCCCTGTTCGTGCTCTACCGTGCTCCCCCTGGCCATCTACCATTGCTGCCTAGACACTGTTTCGAATTCTTTCAGATGAATTGGTACATGAGAAGGAGAGATACAAGGCAATTTCCGAGGAGCTTGACTCGACCTTCCAAGAACTGTCCGGCTATTGATTTCTTCATTTTTTCCATCCATCCATCCAAATCATCCCCGTCATTGCTGACAATTTTCTACCGTACATGTGTCTCTTTCCTTCTGTGCTCCTGTTTCATCTATCATTCGCAGTTTGTAGTCTACGCAATCACTCGAACGGTAATGCATCGCCTGAATATGTTCATAATACCCCTCCGTTTTAGCTTCTCATAGCACATTCGAGAAGCTCGCTTCACTCTACCCAGTTCTGTTTTACTAACATCTATTCGTCTTTTCACCTTCTTTTTTGATGAAGAGCAGGTCAAAATAAAGAATTGAACGAAATACGTTTTACAGTTGTACACTATTATGAACTTTTCCGAGAACGTAACACATCCACCACACCCATCACCCATCAACACACCCAAACTTATGGGAATGTAGAGATCTGCACAGAACTCGTTTTTCACCGCTTACTTAACCCCCGTTCGGGTTTCTCAGTTACGGTTAGGGGCCTGGAAAAACGGTGTTTGTCGACACACACGGTTGGGGTAGCCAATTTGAGTTTTACTCGAGGGTATGCTTTTCTGCAATCTATCTTCAATTTTGACTGGATTGGTACCATTGAACACATTTTTTATCTCAACTCCCACCCCAGCCCTACTGCGCTATTCCCACCCCATCATTGTGTGGTTAGTTCCCTGCAAAACGAAGATTTCCAGGAGGAAATAACTGAGCGATTACCCATAACATAATGACCGTAAATACGATCTCCCACTCAAATCAGTCCACTGCTTAAAATAGGGCAACATCTCAGTTGTTATGAACAGACTCGCTTTCCACTTCGTCTCCTAACGGTACAACTCACGACAAGATGGTTTCTGAAATTTCCTCTCACATGGAGCTGTAGTCTCCAAGGATAGCATGTGAGGCATAAATAGTCGGGTTGGAAACCGACCCGTACAGGGCTTTTTAGGGGCACCCAAACCAGCTTGGCTGACGCACATCCCCAAAAGAGACTGACCCGTCCAAGCTATACCATAAATGAAACTTTGGGACGCTGACGAGTTGTATGCCTATATGGGAGACACCCACACGGTGGCACACATAATCTCGTACAACCCCCTGTCTTACCTCTTTTCTGGAGCCTTATACTTTTCAAAATCCGCCGATTTTTAGTAACCCCGAATTGAGGATAAGAAAGATACCAATAATGGCTGCCATGATAAATAGCCGGAATAACCGATTTCACCTGATTGTACGCATGCCATCCATTCATAAAGGTTTCTTTTTAACAACTTTGAAAACTTGTAAACAAGGAAAAACAACAGAAAATTGTATAAAATCAGTACATACTTGTCACATTTAACTATATTTTCTTCGTAAACGGTAACAAGAATAAAAGTATAGAATAAATTACTTAATAGGCCACCGATGAATACCACAACCTAGTCCGATTTCTCTAGACGAAAGTGCATTTTTTGCCGAATTCCTTCCACCACTCAAAGGACAAAAAATGAACAAATAATAGCCTGCTCAGTGCACGGCCATGTACACATAATTGGACGAGTCTTATTATGCACAGCATAATCGATTATATCACAATTAAAAAAGGGCGAGTTATAATGAAAAAAGGCACCAGAACACATAATAGGATATGACGGAGACGAGAAAGAGCTTTATCAGGAAGAGCGACGTCTGTCGTTGCACATAAGGCAGATTATGTACCTGCAATTGGCAATATAGTATTTCTTCACAAAGTCTCAGCTCATTTCTCTCAACTTCACAATTGCGTGGCCGGCTAAGACAATCATCGCCTCATCGAACACCTGTTCCAAGAAAGCAACACGCCTCCGACGGGCAGCAGCAGGAGCGTGGGTGGATATGCGGCTGACGGAGAAGCATCGGCAGCACATGTTTCGGTCGAGCTTCCCGATATAATGGAATGCAAAGCATGCCAAGGGTTTCTCCAATAAAATTACGCCCAACATTTGGCATTCTATGACCAGAATAAATTTAACTTTCGTTCTTCTTTTAGGTGAATTGCGATAATTACGGACAATGGCCACAATATAAGCAGAAATAGGGATCATTAGGAAATAAACACATATAAAGATAAAATTTAGAGCGCTCTGCAGTTAATCAGCCCCTTTTTCGAGATGAGCCCCGCATTCAACTTTCATTCAAACTATGAATTGCGGTGGTAACTTCATGTACAAGCCAGTACCTGTGCCCAACCCGACGAGTCTGGTGCCAGTCGACCGGGCCCAGAGGGATAGAAGGCTTCGCTGACCCAGATGGGTATCAATCCGGAATGCGACCCCGAACCATGCGTGCTACAGAGCATCCATTTGTAGCTACACCAGCCCATCCATATATTAACATAAACGTGGGTTAATAGTAGAGGACAAAAGTGTTGGAAGTTCCCATCAGTCACCCAAATCAGATTCCAAGTTGCACGCAAAATGCCTGAACCACCTGCGAAACTTGAAGCACCAAGCGATCAACAGCACTCGCAATTTATTCCTCAAATTAAAAGTTATCCCCACAAACGCCGCCTTGACTAAAATGTTTGTGCACTTTATGTACCCCATCAAGGAGATCGAATACTAAGGAAGTCGTTTCATCTTATTTAATGCATAAAAAATCAGCATCAATTCAAATTTATGGAGATTGCGTAAATCAGTGGAGGTATTCAAGTATTGAGCCAACAACGGAAAGGATCCTACCCCCGAGTAAATTTGGCATTTTAAGAGGGAAATAAAACAAAGAGTGTTTTTGGACTTCACAATTTTCATCTTATTTCTATGGTTGCAAAGTATTTTACTGCTGGGAGATGTGATAATGCCTTCTTCTTACTGATCAACCCGTAGGAGGAAGAGTGGAAACGTTCCCTTGTGGTTGACGGAGGCGTGTCTGTGAAATAGGGAACTGACAGTTGAAGCCGAATTCCATGATTGATGACGGGAGTTCAGATGCTTTTCTCGTGTTCTTTATTTGCTTTTTCGCAACTCGTCATTCGGATGCTGGCTAGCGTAATCGTTCTGCGAACGAGTAGCTGATACTACAGGGAACAGAAATGAGTAAAAAACTTTCGTTCATGCTCCGTAAATAAATGCACGCTTCAATAGTAAACAGATCGTACTAGATTATATTCACATGTCACTCACAAGCGTTATTTTGAAGGGCTCTAATTCAAATTGCACCTTGAGCACAATCAAATACAAGGAAGAGGCGCTTGGGTGGCACTAGACAAGCTTAAACAACAGTCTACCAAGAAGACCCCTGGTTAAGGGCATAGTTCACGATAATTTTGAGATACTCTTTTTAAGTTGAAAGCGGAAGTGTTGATGAAGGAGAGTACATCGGTGGCGAAGATAGCAATAAAATACGCCTACTTCAAAGCTTTTCAAAACTAGTGGAAGTGGGGATTGTACGAGATCACCATGAGGGAAATGACATGTAAAGGGTGTTTGGACGAGATTTAACTTGCTCCAATTACGCAAAGAGATGACTACATCACGCCGAAATTGTCCGAGACTGCCCTTCACTGTCGCTATGCTTTACGACAAACTGTTTGAAGTTCTTGCAAGGGAATCTCTCGATATAGTGCAGCCTCTACAAAGCCTTTGAAACTCGTCCACTATGGATGTGGCATTCACACGTCACAATCTTTGGCTCCTTGTTGTGCCCTGTCGAGGACGTTTTTCGACTTATAGGGCCGCTACGGTATAAGGGGGAGCCTCGAGTTCACACTATAGGGGAATCTCAGAAACCATTTTTAGCGTGAACTGTGCTTTGAGTCGTAATTTTTTCACCATAAATCGGTTTGACCTCCCGACCAGGATTTTCCTAAGCTAGGATTAATGTATTTAATCGTATTATAGAGAGCGAAACCTCATTAATGAGTGTTGAACTACGACTCTACAGTTGCGCTGTCCAGAGACCACAAAGACATGTAGTATCTACATCCACCATTGAATCTTCTCAGAGGATCGTTATGCAAGCTTGCATCTAATTAAAAGAGGAGTCGCGGGACATTTGAGCGGCACATTCCAGCAGAGTACACTCTGCAATTTGCCGAGTTTGTACTCCTGTTCACGCCTGAATCATAGCATGTGAGACCAAGCGTTGTCCGAGTTAATACTACTTATCCTTCGAATAAAGTTTGACAAATTGACCCAGTATAGACGGCGCTATGATTAGACCATTCTCGGAGAAAAGTGTAGCCCCAAATCTTCCAATGAAGATATTACACCTTGCCCTATAAATGAGCCAGTTCGTTGTGGTTTCTGCATACAAGAGTATTGGCCATTTCAGAAGCAGAATTTCGCTTCTAGTTGCAGTTAAATAAAAGTGGCGCATAACAGGCTGGGGAGCGCTGAAACAGAGCAACCCTCGTCCTTTTGTGAACCAGCAATGTGTAGGTGAACCACTGCTTTATGTATACAGCCATGGTTTCATATTCTTGAATACAAAAGAATCGAAAGGCTATAAAAGAATAAATATAAATTCTTGAACTGCTTCAGTGAGCTGCAATAGATTAACAAGTTATTGAAGAAGAAGAGATCAGCAGGCTCAATCAAAAGAAAAATAAAGGCACAGTCCACGATTATTTTGGGGTATCTGCTTTCGGACGAATAATAGAAGTGATAATCCAAAAAAGTGCAAAAGTGGTGAAGAAAACGTGAAAAACGGTGTATTTAGAGGCTTCAAAAAAGAAATAAAACCAGATTGGATGAGAATAAGACGACAAAAGTTGCATGGAGGCGAGATTCGGACGAGCTGTCTAAATGTGCATGCCACTGCGTATCGCTGCCTACAATAAGCTGCCCCGCGCAACGTTGCATCCCGGTGCGAATGGTGCAATCTTTACATACTCTACAATGCCGAGAAAACTCGTCCGCCTTGGGGTGTGTTTGTCTGAGCTGAGTCAGTTTTGACGACCTCATTACGCTCGATCCTGCCCTTATTTGATCCATCGGCATTCCTTGTGCTATCCTTGAGGGTCACAGGTTATCCCAGGAAGCAGTCTCGGAGACTTATTACACCGTGAACTGTGCCTCCAAAGAAACATAAACGGAAGAGCAACGAGTCGTTTGTTTTCCCAGTTGTTGGCAGATAAGTGTACTTTTTCTCTCTAAAAAATTCCTGCGGACGCTACCGTCTTGAAAAAAGCAGAGCACACACTTGGTAAAAGAAACGTCACAGCCCGTACAAATCAGGGGAACGGAAGAAGACCGCATACTCATTATTATTCTAAATTATTCATTGGAATGCGTGGCTGAACCCTTACTCTAAACCATTTCTGTCGCCTTGCATCGCGGTAACAACAGACAACTTCAAAATGAAATGGAAGACTCCCACATAGACTTCGAAAAGCTCTACAGAAAAGGTTACACCGTTTCGAGCTCATCGTCTGTAATTCAAAGTTCAAGACTGGTGGCAGAAGAATGGCTGACAAATTGAACCATCGCCTGTTTTATGCAGAATTCCACTTCTCAGTGGGGTGGCACAAAAGAACCCGGATCTGAGAAACAAACACCGACGGGGGTGTCGGTGCCAAATAAAAAAGACAGAAAACACGGGCAACTATCGTCCAGTCTAATACCAACCTGTCCCAACGAACTCTTTTAAGAGCTATTTTCAAAAATACTAGTATGATATTGGATGAAGGACAATCATGATTCCAAAGGGATTTCCAATTCATTAAATCCACAGCTTCGCTGAAAGTCACGACAGGACCGGATGCCCTCAGGTTAACGTTCATCGACTCCAAAGAAGCCTTTCCAGGGAGTCATGTCGACGTGGAAAGAAAGTTTCATTAGAGTCTCGCCAATCTCGCCCAAACTTTTTATTGCCACTCTCGAGAACGTCATGTGTCAACTGAAGTAAGAAAACATGAAAGTTAAGGTCGACAGCCAGTAGTTTTCACCTCTGTTCTGAAAACGATACCGTGTTTATGACACCGAATATCGGGCAGCAGAACAAATGCTGGCAGAGTTCCGCAGCATTTGTGTAAAGGCCGATCTGCAGATGACAAAGACACTATTCATGAGAAAGAAGTCGCTTTCCATTGCCTCTTTTACACTCAATGTTCTGAACTACTCTAAACGCTCCAACTACGTGTACCAAGAGCGGAAAACGCAGGCGATGAACGACGTAGTTCCAGAGGTGAGCGGAGGGAATCGAGTGCATTGGAAGCATTTTGAAAGATCGAATCGGTAGTCAGGAATGCCAAGATTAGCCGGTTCCCTGTGCATCTTTTCGATTCTGCTGCCCATTCTGCCTCAAACAAAGCTTTAAAAGTTGAACTCTGGATGAGGCGGCAGCGAGCAAAGGACAATGGTTGAAGATTCCCGATATACGGAAGTGCAGAAGCTGTTCAAGCTCCGCCAACAAACGAACACTAGAAAGAACAACCGTACAAGCCAAAGAGTCGATGATCATCAAAGCCAGAAACTTAGCGACTTTGTGATGAACGTTGTACCAGGACGTTTATCGTTTGTATCTCCCAAGACGTTAGGAAAAGACAAAGACGGCCACCGGATCGACGGTCAAACTACTCCACAGGTGTTTAGGAGTAAAGCAGCGTCCTCAATCGTGTAGGATAGGGTAGACTACATGGAATTTAAAAAAGGGGAGAGTGGTTAAGAGGAAGTTACTGACGCCCCTTCGAGCAACTCGATGATAAAAGAATACGATGAAGGAAAATTCGTTAGATTTACCAGTGAATCCTCACGAGGTTCTTCTACAAAACCTTAATTAGGATTCATTACTGAGTTTGAAAGGGAACATTTAGAAGAACGTCGTGGGAGTCAATCTGTCCAAAGCGGCACACATCAAATGTTAATGAAGGATGAAAGATAAAGTCGTGGGGCGTTGATAATCCCGTCTGAGGGATGTGCTCGCGCATTCGACATCCATTCAGAACCGTAGTAGCGTATTGAATGCGTATATGGCTTCCACAATGACTTACGGTGTCCAGCCGATGTACAGAATAGTGCTTTTATCCTCCAAGACAAGTCTCGCACCACTTAACCAACCCCGGAGGAATGTAAGCTTGGTTGGCTTAGGCATATATCGATCCGGGATTCGAACCCGTGACCATGCGTGTGTGAGGTGTGCCACTTGCCCCTACACCACCCCCGCCCTACAGCAAACGTTAACTCTGAGAAAATCCAATGTGAATCACACTGCGCTGGCATCTCCTACAATCAGTCTGATAGCTTACCCACACCCACTTAACGTATCTCAATCACTTTAGGTGTTTCAAGTCATTTTTCATTTGACTGAAATTACTCCTGAAGTCAACGCCATAGGAGACAGAGACAATGTATAAAGTGAGTCGTTAAAGACAATCGCAGTTGTTCTATAGTTGCTTTAATTGCTGTCTACTCGCTTTTCTAATTCCAGTGAGGAGAATGCAGAATTACAGCAGCTTCTGGAGCACACCATATCCTCATATGACTTTTGTGCTCCCACATCAGCTGAACATCCACAATAAGTAAATATTAGATAAAATTCAAAGTTATAGCAAAGATCATTCCACAAAATTCAAATGTTAGAGAAAAATCGCAGCGAAAATGCTTTCTACTGCTGAATAGTCTTTTACAATCAAAAGGAATACGCCGCTGTTTGGAAACTCTACCATTTTTGCATAATCCTTTCACCAGCCATCCCAAGATTATCAGGTGCACCTTTATGCGACCACACATGACAATCTCCAGTTCTACAAAACCAGCGTCACTACAGCCACATTACCATCAATACACCTTTGGAATGCTTTTAGCCCCGTTCTTTCCTCAGGATTGTAGTTTAACTTGTATGAGGACGTCACAACCTTTGAGCAACCTCATGTATGATCCATCTGCCGCAAGCTTCTGTCGCGGGCCATTTGCCTCGTTATAACAGTTCTAGCGTTCTTCATNCAGCTCGTTCGCTGTGCGATTATTACTTATGACATGATTCTACTGTTAGTTCTTTTGTTCCTGAACTTCTTACTTGCTGCTGCATTCAGCTACATTCCTTCTCGCGCGGCGTCTCTCGCCGCGACGCGACAATTTCGTTCCTACTGCACCACACCCAGAGTTGCATACTGGCGAAATCATACATCGGTGTGGGGTGATATCAGAAAAGGAGGTTCACTAGCAAAAATTCATAGGGGAGAGAAGCACAACAAGAATTTTATGGATAAACGAAACTGTAAAATAGAAACCTGAATAGTTTGGTCGGCACTGAGAGATATTAATGAGGCGCGTGCAACAGCACCAGGACCAGGAATCTTACGAAGAGGACCGGAAGTTGGCTGTGGAACAAAAGATGTTACATCTGCTGCATATCGGTCAAGAAACTCCACGGCGGTCACGAATATACCATGCGTTTCCTGAACGAAAGAAAAATTGGTGATTATGAGATTTATCAACTAAATAATGTCATCACTTACCTTAAATGCGATCATTTCTTTCATATCGTGAGTATCGTATATGTACACGCTGCCCCCCATGCTTCCCACACCAGTGTAGTTTCCACATGGGCTCACACAGAGGGACGACACACCCTAGAAAATAGGCAAACCAAGTTTTGAACAGCAATTTTTACATTTACACTATTTCGAGTTCGAATATGAGAAATTTGGTTCTACACTATTCGACACCTCTAAAAACAATATATGCAAGAATCAAAGGACTTGAAATCAAATTTAGAAGAAAGATTTATATATATGTATATAGGAAAGGCGCCCCTAGAACTCCAAAATCGCGTAGCCGTGGATCACTTTGGAAATCCGCTTTGGATACACGCGCACCTCAGACTTTTGGAAGCTGTTTGCGTGAAGGTGCGTCCTGCGTTTTGCCCTTNATTCTTTTTCTCTGTGTGAATGAAATGTTGAGCGGGATGATGAAGAACGGGGGGTTCTGTCTTCCAAGAGGACCTCATACAGCGGAAATCATATCGAAGTGAGGAAGTCCAATATTGTAAACGCGTCCCGTAGACTGATTGATACTCCAATTAATTTTTTTGATTAAATTTGTTGGTTTCAATCATCTTTAAAGGACGAAACACAACGAATGAGGCTATGATGACAAACTAGACGACAATGACAAATAACGATGGTGAATGTACCCAGGGCCCATGCTCAAAAAGAAATAGAAGACTCCGAACTCGAAAATTGCGAGCAATTCTAAGTCTTTGAAACAACAAAAAGCAAACTCACATCTCCTTGGCCTATGCTTCGCACAACAATGGATCGAAGTGCTTTCTTTTCTCTACTGAAAGCCCACAGTGCTAGGAACGATTTCTTTTTGGAAGTAAGTGCAGCTGCATTGTATGCAGCGACGAATACAATGTTGCCATCACTTCCTAATGGAGTACATCTGATTGAACGCGCCTAAAATACACCAAAGCTAAACGGAAGAGAATCGACCGAATATATCGATACCGTTCATGAAAAACACATATACACAAACTGATTATCAGATGCAAATTGTTACTGTTAAACTCTGACAACTAATTCTTTCAAAGCCATCATAAAGTGAAAGATGGAGGTTCAATAAAAACAACGAACCTTGTATCCATTTCCACACTCCGTAGGCTGGGGAATTTCTCGGATGAGCGTTCCAAGGCTCATGTCCCACATTTTAGCGGTGCCATCATGTCCGACTGAACTGAAAAGATTTAGACCACTTTGATTTCAGCATAGATTGATGCGCAAACGCTTGCGAAGAAACTGCATAAAGTGGCGATCAGATGAGCATACATGATAGTTCGCCCATCAAAGGTTACATCAATGTCGAAGACATCAGATTTGTGTGCTTCAATATCCAAAATTGGCTTGTGAACCTTTTCCGGATTCTGAAAACTCGAAATTAGTGTTTTCTCACCGAGTTGCTAAAAGCAAATTAGCCATTTGGGCTAGTGCTGAGGCTCATGAGGTTTGTTTCTTCAACCATTTACATACGTGGTAAAAAGAGAATTTATCTTTTCCGTCAGACTAGGACAATTCAAAGAGCGAATTCGAATAGAACGAACCCGATCTTCGACCAGAGCTTCCGTGTTCCAAACACGGATCCTTCCATCTTCGCCTCCGGTAACCACCCGTTTTCCAGATGTTGAACGATCAAACCGCACACATTTCTGATAAGTTGCAAAAGTCATTATTTATAGCCCAGTGAAAGGGTAAGTAAAGATAATCAGTGAATAAATAAAGTTAGAAGCGGCAACAGATATTCGTTGATAAGTACTATAACTCAGCAGAACTCATAAAACCTGAACAAATCAGGAACGCACAGCGAATCACTGCAAGAATACAGTGGAACCTAAAAGTTTCGAAGGAACCAACCTGAAAAGATTCCACCTGTTCTGATGTAGTTAACCTTCCAACCACTTTGATGTTCAGCTTTAGGACTGGCTCACCAGCTTCATCCTCTCCTACACCATGACCCGTAGTCTCATAAACATCGCAATACTGAAAGTTGACTGTGAGGATGCGCATACAGTACTCAAAACTAATGACGCTGACGATGAAATCCTAGATGATGATGAAAAATTTTACCATGGAAAATCACTCAGAAATAGAGAACATCACTACAATACATGGAATAAAAGGAGCAAGAGAAAGTCGAGGTTTAAGCTAAGAAATAATTAGCTCGCGATTAAAATCACCGTTAACTCAAGAAGGCTAGACTGAAGTCTGTAAGGAATTGATGAGTGGTAGGAACTGCACTACACTACATGTAAGAAAATGGCAGACATTTTTGGGGAAGTCTTCTTCCTCAGAATCAATTTTCGAACTGCTCATCCAAATAAGAATAAAGTCACGGAGTCATTCAATACATGAACAGCAAAAGCTACAAATTTTGCTAAGATATCCGTATTAGGTTGTCTCACACTGCTTTTCAGGAGTTGCGAGCAAAAGTACGAATGAAGGACCGGAATTGCGGAAATCCCAATCTCTTGCTTCTCTTCTCTCCGTTATGAAATGGCTACTGAGCCTACGCGGCATAAAGCTGTTACAAAGACGGCGACTACCTCTACGACTGACCTTTCGTCTTCATTGCTACCACGACACGAAACGTTAAATTAAGTGGTAAAATTTTCCAGAAGCTTCTAGAATAACCTTATAGCTGGGTACTCGCTTCATCACCAATCTGGCGACTAGGATGAACTGTTCGAGCAATGCTACTAAGGAGCTCTTCTTCTACGTGTGAAGGCCAGTGTTTCATTGAAAATTTTGACATGGTCATGAATTCTCTAATCAGTTCCATGTTCCATAGGATTTGATACCATGATACTAATCACTGGCGAGGACCGGAGGGGAATTTCTTACAGAAGCCGAATGGTTACAACACAAATTCCACCAAATAAAAAAAACCAAATAAGTAATGCAAAAGAGATTTTTCAATTAAGTTTTTGTCAACTTCAACAGCTACAGTGAAGGCTATTGGGACGAAAAAAAAAAACAAATTTCACAATCATGGTTGAATTAATGTAAAAGTGACCAAGAAAAAAAAGAGAAGCTGAAGAGTCACTACTGCAAAACCTCAAGATACAACGGCAAAATAGGTTCTGCTGAAGAGAATGTAAACAGATGCGAATACTACTTACCTGACCATGACCTGCTGCTATGAGATACCTTCCTTTTTCAGGGTCCGCACAGCATACAACGTCCATATTCATCGTGGCATATATGTCTGTATCTATCTTCAAAAAGGCTAGTAAGCGTAAGAGATTTGTCGAAAGAAAAGTAGTTCAGTACCGTGTCAACAAGTACGGCCTTCATTGGTGTAGGACTTTTGGGAACATTCCTATTTCCAAAAGTCAAGAGGTAGGTCTGAAAAAGTAATATAAGAAAGTGTAGACAGATTTAGATTAGAATGTTATGTTGACGTTATAACAATACCAGTCGGGCCGCCCGGCTAACGCCGGGCTTCCCTCCTTCTTATGGGTTCGCCCGGCTACGCCGGGCGCTCCTTCTTACTGTGAGAAATTTGCTATGCGTAAACAACCTTCGGATTCTCCTTTTGCTTTCAAAGCTCTACACCCTCAGTACTAGCTCCGAAGGGAGAGCGATTTCTTCTGTAAGCCAACTTCGCTGTGCCCGAAAGAACATCGTTTAATATCACAAAGGC